CCCCCAAATGGGAAGCTCTTTTTGCCTGTGCAAGTGCAATTAAAATTTTGTCCTCTTATAAACCTCTTTGATTTTCATCTGCAGTTCACTCTTAAAAAAAATCTGTTCTGTATTCTTTCCTCTAATTTGTCTTAACTTTCTTTTTCTTTTCTCCTAGTTCTCCTTGGAAATTTCTACCGTCTCTAGCAATGTGTACATAGTGATTCATCTTTAGAGGATAGAACAGGCATCAGCTGTAGGTATAGATATCTTCCTTGGCAATGGGGAAACCTGTTTAACAGAAATGGGAGTGGAAACAGGTAAAACCCTGTTCTCCTTACTCATGTAAGTAGTTCCATTAATTCAATGGGATTACTTGTCTGGGTAGAACAAACAGGATTGGACCCTATCAGTTGTATTAAATGAATCCAGTTAGCCTGGTAATTGAATATACTGGAGACTGGATTTCTGTGTTTTATCGAAGTTGTCTTTTAGTTCAGAAGAAATAAAATAGTTGAATACTTTGTGCATTTGTTAAAAATGGATGGTTGTCTCCTTAAGCTGCATGATGGTATACCAGTCATAACACAGCACAGGCTTTTGCCTTTTTTTCTCTCTTTGACCTGCTGTTTTGGAATTGTTTTTTCAAGTTAGTGATCAGCTAGCTTTGAAGGAGACTACACATGCCATAGGAGGAAGGCTTGCTTGTCTGTGTTGAGGAACTTGTACTGAATGTGCCTGATGGCGCAGGGAAGCTAAGCCTCTGCAGCACAGTGACTTCAGTAGGAGCTGATAGTGTCCCGGGTTTGTAGCAAGTGCTCGGCGCTTGGCGGGACTGGCTCCAAACAGAGCCTTTTTACAGACACAACTTTAATGTTTTTCTTATGTGGCTTCATTCCTAATGTTGCTTTGTTGTTTTAGGTTACCGCCCTATTCCAACAGACCCTTACCTGGGAGGGAATTCACCCTTGCCACCCCCTGTAAGTGACAGAATGAGAAAGAGACGGGCTTTTGCTGATAAGGAGTTGGAGAACATTATGCTAGAGAGAGAGTACAAAGAGAGAGAGATGATGGAAGCTACACAAGCAGCTGCCCTTTTTCTCCCTAACCGCATGGTGCATGGAACTGAATACAATTCATATAAAACAGCCTTCAACACTACTCAAGTTGAAACTCCAAACAAGGAGTTTTGCAATTTTTTACCAACCTGCCTTGATCTAACCATGCAGTATTCAGGATCCAGCAATATGGAACTAATTTCTTCAAATGTCAGTGTAGCTACTACCTACAGGCAGTATCCCCTGTCTTCTAGGTTCTTAGTGTGGCCAAAATGTGGCCCCATTAGTGATGCTCTCCTCTACCAGCAATGCCTGTTAAATGCTACTGCTGTCCAAGCTCTCAAACCTGGGGCAGCTTGGGATGCCAAGGTCTCACAAAGTCAGGACTGTCCAAACACTGAGCACAACATCATGTCTCCAAAACTGGAAAATTCACTCATTCTGACCCACATGCAAGACATTCAGCAGTCATGTAATGAGATACTGTGCCCTCCTCAGGAAGCTCGTGAAAGGTCAGCATTCTCTCCTCCAAAAAGGACTTTCAGTCAGATTTCTGATAAGGATTCTCTGGCTCCTCAGGAGCAGGTATTAAGCAAGATCAGCAAAGACAGTACCAAGCCCCATCCACCACTCAAATACAATAAATTTCAGTCACTGTTCCAGCAAACATTTCCTGACAGATCAGAAGCAGAGTTGAGAACATCATTTGTGAAAGAGGCTTTTGAAGATGCTCCTAAGAAATACAGAGAGTGTGCCATGAAAGACAACCAAAAATGCAAGGTTACAATAGACAAATGCACAAAAGACTTCTCTGGGGCCAAACAGGCCACAACAAAACTTTCAACAACTGAGCCACTCTCATTTTCAGTTGAATCGATCCTTAAACGACCTTCTTCTGCAGTTGCTAATGTCTCTCAATGAATAAATGGTACCTTCAGTGTAGAGTTTGTATGCTTTGCCTTCTGCAGAATTGCTTCTGCCTGCCTTGTCTTTTAAAAGATTTGTAAAGAGGAACTTCTGCTCCAAATGGTAATTCTTTTTTTTTTAAATCTCAAAATGATGTACAGAAATATGCACGTTTTCTCTTCTGAAAAAGAAATATATTTAATTTTTTAGAATTGAAACTGCATGTACAGGCTGTGAAGTGTTGTTATTTTCAGCAGCACTTCAAACCATTCAATAAAATGAGATTACCTACAAGTATAGACATATTCATGATCTCTGTTTTGTATCTAGTATCTCACAGGCAAGTATGCCCTACTTTCAGACTATACTTATTCTTTTATCTGCTGTTATCAATGTACTTACTAGTTATCTTGGTGGGGTAAATGGTCCTTTCTGCTTTGACCTTCCAGTAACTAAGAGAAGAGGTAACAATGGTGCACGTAGGCTAGCGTGAATTCACAAGACTTTTTATTAATTTAAGTGAGGTTTGGATCAGATTCCAAATGCCTTTCTTATTCTGAAGGGGGAGGATGTGCTAGTATAAAAGACTGGTTTATTCCACACCTCTCTATAAAAGCTGCTGTTCTTAAAGTGGAGGAGTTACTAAATTGGATTTGAGGAGAATGGCTCTGGGAAGCTTTGGGATAAAAAAATCAGCATTTTTTAAAATCTAGTGTTTGGATAAAAAGTCTGTTTTTTTTTTCTTTCTTTGTTTGTTTTTGAAAAACGTTCAGCTGACTTCACTCTGTATTTCCACCACCTAGAATATCTCCCTTCCAAAAATATTTCACCTTTGACCAGCAAGAGCCTGAGATTCTTTTGTTGTGGCAATTTAAATGCCCTTTAGTCTGTAAAAATGATGCACAAAATCATCCCTGCTAATGAGAAATCAAGTCATGATCTCTCAGTTTCGTAATTCTATGCCCTTTTGCAGGGATAGCAGAAATAAAGGAGATTAACCAGTAGAATTTACCTGGGAATGTGAAATGTCCTCAAGGCTGTAGAAAAAGAAGTTACCAGCTCTTATTATGGCTGAGCTTGAAGCTTTCTAAATTTGTGATTTTGTTTTTTCCTATGTTACTGCTAGCAAATCTGGTGCTAATCGATAATAATTTCTATCCTGCAGACAGTGCTCAGCCAGTTGAAAGTAGCTGTAGTTTGTTCTTAATTTTTATTATTTTAGAAGGACAACTTCTGTTCCGTACTCGTGAGCAGAATCTAGTATTTTCTGATTTTATTACACTTGCCACACAGGTTAAATGCTTATTTTGCTATGAATAAGTATAAGTATCTGAATTTCTGGTTCTTTAAGTATCTCTGAAAGTACTTAGTGGTTTCTGTTCAGAGTGCTGTTGCTGAATAGCAGGACCCTTTTCGTGGATCGGAGGAGTTGTCTGTCGTGGGTGCTTTTCTAAGCCACTTTGTTAAAGCAACAAAGACACTAGAGAAAACACATTTTATGCAAGGTGTAAATTTTTACATAACATTTTACAAAGCACATAACCATTTTATGTCAGGAATGTAAACAAATTTGTTGTAATTTGAAAGAATCTTGGGCATTAAAGTTTTCACTTTTCAAAAGCATTCATACTAACTAGATTTTGTGTAACTGAAAATATATTTCAAATGCTTTTAATTTTTTCAAAATCTATCCAGTTGCCGTTAGAGGGAGTTTTAACTAACTTGAGAGCTGAATCTGCTTGTTAATCAGTTTAGCAGTCAGACCAAGCTAAGCAGCTTTTACCCGAAGTAAATGGAGTGAAATTCTTCACATTTCATATTTGTTTGCTTCCACCACCATTTCCTTCTTTGGCTTAGTTGAGCATTAAATGCTAACAATTAATTTAAGCAGGGTTTCCTTTGTTATTAAAAATATTATTTTTATTGTTTTTCGAGCTGCTGGCATAAACTAGGACAACAGATGAAAGAGAATTCAGCAATCTATGTAGCGAAGCAATATTGGATACTGGAATTGGTCCCACAAAAATATTTTTTTGCCTGACAATGTGTGCATCTAACATTGTTCAATTTCACATCTGAAACATTTTTCCAGGAAGTCACTTGTCTTTCTTTATCTCTTAAAATAAAACCAGAAAAGCAAACCTCTCCAACAGACTGGTACCTCTTGACTTCTTAAAGAAGCAGCTGAACAAATTCAAACTCTGAAGATATACCAAGCACGAATATACATCTATGTACACACTTACATACATAACATATATATGTGCCAGGTAGTTTTGTTTAAATCCTGATAATTGGAAGAGGAGTGACATTTTTATTACTATTTGAAAAAAATGTGGCCCTTGCTCATGTCTTGCTTCTGTTCCATTAGCTGTTCCTCCCTGTACTTAGCTTCCTTATATTTCGTAGACCCTGGACCTTATCTCTCATGTGTCTTGAAAGCTTGTTGCACTAAGATCGTTTTTTTCCTTTCCTTTATTAAAAAGGTGTATAAAGTTTGTTGTTCATGGAGAGGATGAGCTTGAGCACAATGGTGTATCACAGCGTGTGATTTTTGTCACACATCTTTGCAGTGGATGTACAGCACTCTGGCATCTTTCAGCCTTATGCTTCTCTAGAGCAGAAGTAGCGACTTCTCTGCATGTGCTGGTGTGGCTGTGCAAACTCATGGAAACTGTCTAGTGCTTACTGCTAGGCCATGTCTCCCTGGCAGTAAGTCAGCTGTTAAAATATCCTACGCTCCCCTATGCTTCCTGCTTTTTAAAGACAATTTTTCTGGCATTTGCTCTGTGTGTGTATGCTTCTATTTCCTGTACAGTGAGACTAGTTTTCTCTGAGTAGAAGATGCACCTTTGTGCTGTGCTCATGGACATCAGGCTGCATGTCCCTTCTGATCCCCTTCTGACCTTAGTTTTTCTTACATGTTGGTGGAACGTGCTTGTTGGGAAGCTGTTGTGGTTTAACCTCAGCCGGCCGTGAAGCACCACACAGCTGCTTGCTCCCTCCCCCCTCCCACTGAGGGGAGAATCTGAAAAAAAAAGTAAAACTTGTGGGTTGAGATAAAGACAGTTTAATAGGACAGAAAAGGAAGTGATAACAACAACAATAATAAATTAATACAACAAAGCAAGTGACACACAATGCAATTGCTCACCGCTTGCTGACCAATGCCCAGCCAATCCTTGAGCCTCAGCACCCCCTGGCCCACTATCCCCGGATTATATACTGGACATGATGTCATATGCCCATTGGCTTGTCTGGGTCAGCTGTCGCTGCAGAGCCCTGTCACGGTCCATTTGGTGGACTCCTGATGGTTCGTTTGCTGTGATCTCAGAGTGCAAAATTAAGGCGACCGCACCAAAGGGGTTCGCTTCAATCAAACAGTGAAATTTTATTGTTTGTCCTTAAAGCAGCATGTGATAGATAAAGAGGGTAAAAGGAAAGGGAAAGGTAGAAGTGAAAAGAGGAAGGAGATTGATAGCTACCACCGCAGGTCCAAGGCGTCCCTATGGTCCCAGGTCTAGGCAGTGTCCTGCTGGTCCTAACGATCGTCGTGATCCTTGGTGGGGAAAGCTTCCAAAGTTCGGGTGCTGAGGAGCCCCTTTTTGTGCCAAGTAGCACCCCTTGCTCCTCCTCTGCATCTCCGCCTCTTCTTGGCTCCATTGGTGCTGATCAGTCTTTTGTGACAGCAGTTACACAGTCCACCTTATCAGCTCGGGCTTGCCCCGTAGCAGAGAACGGCACAGCACTCTTCGTACCACGCAGCTCTCCCTCCTGGGGTGTTCATAGTACATTCCACTCTCGGGATCAGCAACTGTGTCTCAGGCAGGCTGCTGCAGGCTCATGTCAAGACGGTAGCCTAATTTTTGGGGTATTTTATTATCCCTATCCCCAATGACAAGGTTGAGACAGTGCTGTTTTCTGGACTGACTCTTACAAGCACCCTCCCAGCTTCTTGTGCACCCCAAGCCTCTGCTGGCAGGGCAGCATGAGAAGCTGAAAAGTTGTTGACTTAATATAAGCACTGCTCAGTCACAACTAAAACATCAGTGTGTTATCAACATTACTCTCACCCTAAATCCAAAACACAGCACTACACCAGCTACTAGGTAGAAAATTAACTTTATTCCATCCAAAACCAGGCCAGAAGCTCAGCTTTAGGTTTGGGACAGGAGCTCAAGAGCCTGTGCTGTCTGTGGAGCACAAAAAGGTCATGCAAAGGAGTAGAAAGGACAGTTGTTCTCCTGGTCTGCAAAACAGCAAGCCTGGCTGATGACATCGTCAGAGAAAAGCAACTATTTTTTGGAAGTGCACGCCCTCCATATGCATGCTGAGACAAAAGTTTATAGGTGTACAGAACCAGAGGAACTGGGATTTAACAGTACCCCAGACAGTGCCTGTCTTACTACCTGACCTGGTGGCAAGGAGTGGGTGGTGGTGGGTTCACTTGGAGAAGGGATAGGTTACTGACAGCTGCTGCAGTGACAGTGCTTCTCCCTCATGGCACAGGAGAACAGCAAAGGGGGCTGTGGTGGGTGGGGTAGAGTTCTTGCTCAATTTGTGTGGGTCGCTGGCTTTCTCTCAGGTGCTGGCTTCCTGGAAGTGACTGCACCGGCACTGCTGGCTTGCCACAAAGCCTGCCTTAACACTGTAATTTGTCTTTGATGGCTTTGACTCAGCATATCGAGCTGCTGGGCTTGAAGTAGAGCAAGGCATAGAGTTTGGTGAGATGGCTGGATAGTTGGACATGACTCAGCTGATGTCAAGGCTGAAATGCCTGTGAAATCATCAGATGAATGCATTTACATTCTGGCCTGAGAACAAGACTTAGCCCTGTGCTGTATGCTTGTCCTGCTATGACAAAGACCTCTCTGGGTTTTGCAGTCTGAGCTCCTGATCTTGAGATCATAAAAGCAAGTCAGTTTTTGGCCATCTGTGAAGGCACAAGTCCCTGTAGAGTTAATGGCTCTGAAACCTGAACATTAATCAGCTCCCAGTTGCTATTGTCATGGAAT